CCACACACACACACACACACACACACACACACACACACACACACACGCACACATCCTTATACTTCCAAATTCAAAATTCCTGAGGGCCTACGTTGATCTCTCCCATTGCATTCCCTAAGATGCATGGAGGTTGTGGAAGGGATCCCTCCCTCAGGACTTACCCTGCCAGGAATTTGAAGCTTTCTGACCTGCCACTCCATGGCTCAGAAAAAGGATCAGGAAAAGAGAGCGCGTCCTAGGTTCCTGAGACATTCTCCTGGAATTAATTCAAACATAGGCACGGCTCAAGTTTGTTTGGTTACAATGTTGGAGAATATTCAAAAGACAAAAGGGTGCATAGATACCCAGAGTGCCTTGATGTTTTTTAAAAAATAATTTTAAAATTCCAGCTACTTTGCTCTATTCAATCCCCTATCCTAGCCTAAGACACATTTGTCTCTCTCCTTCGTGACTGCAATGCCTTCCGCCCCACTGATTCCAGTGAAGAGGAATGGTTACAAAATAGACACTATTATATCTCCTATGAGATTTGTATCCAGAAGAGAAAAAAGAACACATAATTAAGAAAAAAAGTCAATAAAGGAAAATATATAAAGTTAAACTTCTTTAAAATAAATATATAATTGTCCAATAAACACACAAAAGATTCCCACAGCATCAGTTAACAAGAACACACAAATTAAGCCACAGTGAGACCACTAAAAACTCACCAGAATGACTAAAACTTAACATGACAATACCAAATGTCGCCAGTGATAATGGCACCACAGGAGCTCTCCTATGCTGTTGGTGCAGCTGCTTTGGAAAACTGTTTGGTAGTGTCTTATAAAACTAAATATATATTTATGATGAAGGAATTCCAATCCTAGGTATTCACCCAAGAGAAATGAAGACACACAAAAGTGTCCTCAGCTTCATTCATAATGGTCAAACGTTGGAAACGACTCAGATGCCCAACAACAGACAAAGGTTAAGTGTGGTATATTCATCAATGAAAATGACGATGGCTTAATGATTCCAAAAATTATTTTAGCCGCAGTGGAGTAGTTGGCAGGGGGCAAACCCTCCTGCCTTAAATGAATAGGAAACCAACCAAAAATATGACACAAAGGCTTCCAGACATCAGGCAACAGGTGGCACAAGGCTGAGACCCTGGAAAGAATGGAAACAAACAAGTTGAGCTCTGGTGTTGCTCCCCTGCTCCAAGTGGCCAGACCACAGTCCAGGCAGGGAGTTGCAGAGCTTGGAGGTCTCACAGAGCTGAAAGAGGAGACTGGGAGTTCGGGGAAATCAAGGCAGCCAGATTCACAGGCAGTCTTTCTCTCCTTGGAGAGAAAGGAGTTGGAGGAAGTTCCAGAGATTGGAAGAAAGATCCTTTGAGCCACTGGCTACATATTGATGTAAGAAACTACCTGGGACTACACACAAATATACCAACAGGCAGGACGGTCCTTGGAAGTCACAGGGACTGAGAATAGTTCCCGCAGCGGGATGGAAACTTCTCCAAATACACTGGGCCTCCAGGACAGTGCTCAGAGAAGACAGGCCATGACAATTTCCTGGGTTTGATATTGTACGACAGCTGTGCAAGACATAACCACTGAAGGAAACAAAGTGAAGAGTACATGGGACCTCTCTGTGTATATTTTGAAACTTCCCATGAATCTATATCTTAATCATCCAAAGGAAAAAAAGAGCATATGATTGCTGTGGGCCGAGCCTGAAGATGGCCCTTTGCCTTCTCCCTACTCCCTTTCTATCCCACAGACTAGGTAGAACCTGGCTAGCACAGCCCCAGGAGACAATTACATTATGTACCTTGCTTCCTGTTCCTTTTCTGTGATTACCCCAATCACGAGACAATCACGCTATATTCAGCCTAGACCATGTAGCACTGTTTACCCCACCTTCTCTCCCTGTTTGTCTTACACTATAAATAAAGAGTGCACAGGACTCCAGGCAGCCAGTAGCTCCTGACAGGCTAGAGCTCCACCTGGTCCCAGCTTTCAAGCATAGTCTTTGTGTTTTCATTTTACTTCATTTCCCACCACTCTCCCCAGCTAAGGACCCTACACAATGTAGGTCATGGCATACGATGTGCACAGAAAAAGGAATAAACTACTGATAAATCCAACAACATGGGTGAACATCAGAAACATTATTCAGAGCGAAAGAAGCTAGTCACAAAAGAGGACATATTGCATAATTTCATTTTCTTGAAACTCAAGGTAGGCAAATAATCTCCAGTGATGTAAGAGAAATCAGAAGTCCCCTGGGACACATCTAGGATGCAGTGAGTATTTACTGCAAAAGGGCACAAGGATACTTTTTGGGATGGCAGCAATTCTGTATCCTGGTTGTGGCAGAAATATACAGATCCCTGAATTTATCACAGTAAACCACTCACTTAAAATGGGTTTACTTCATTATATATAAATTATACCTCATAAGCCAGGCATGGTGGCGCACACCTGTAATCACAGCACTCAGGAGGCTGAGGCAGGAGGATCGCTGTGAGTTCAAGACCACCCTGGGCTACATAGTGAGTTCTGGGTCAGTCTCAACTACATAGTGAGACCCTGTCTCAAAAAAACGTATATACAGGGCCAGGGATTTGGCTCAGTGGTTCCACCGCCTGCCATGCAAGTGCAAGGACCTGAGTTTGATCCCCGGTATCAAAAAAAAAAACCAAAAAAACATACATACATAAATTATACCTCATAAAATGTTGCTACCCAAAGAGAAAGGAAAAAGCATGAGCTATGGAGACAAACTACCTGGTTTCAATTCCATCTCTGCCACTTATTAGCTGCATGACATTGAACAAATTTCTTGCCTTCTCTGTGCTTCACTTACCACATCTGTAGAATGCGGTTAAGAATGGTACCCTCATTACACAATTATGTAAAGAAAAAATTAGTTAATAATGGCAAGCTGTGTAGAATGGTCTTTGCTCAATGGAAGCACTATATGGAGATTTTTTATTGCAGGGTATAATGCCAATTTTGCCATAAAGGTGCATTGTTGTGGGTGTATAAGACCCACATATATACTTTAGAATATGTCTGTTGATTATTAATTTTAATTTTATGAGTTTATTATATTTAACTATGAGTACTTAACAGAAAAAAATCCAAAATAGTATTGATTTTTATAATTATAAAATTGCATCAAAATTTTCATCATTGTTTTTTGCCATGCAAAGTCTAAACAATAACAACAGAAATAAAATCCTGTCTAACTACAATGAAAATGCCAATAGACCTCTATAGTAAAAATAATCTTTGTTTCAATTATCACACCTCAGGCAGTCTTCACACATGACTACAGCACGTTCCATACACACATACATATCACTTACACAGACAGCACACGTTTTGCTTTCCTGGACTTTTGGTAGTACACACTTGACATCTCACTGGTCTTGCTGTTTTGTCAGGAGGCTCTTATTACAATATACAATGTGTAGTTAACAGGAATATAAAAATCAATAAAATAAAGTATCAATATATATTGTGCATTTAGGAACGAACACCTTCACAATCAGCTATGTACTTGCTTACAAAACCTAAAAGATATCATCAGGAATCAATTCCTATATGAACTTCAATAAAAATACCAGTAGAACTCTACAGCAAAAATCATCTTTGCTTCAACTGCCACACCCAAGGCTGTCTTCACACATGATAACTGCATGTTCCATGCACAAGTATTGCTTACATTGATAGCACGTATGTTTTGTTTTCCTGTCCTTTTTTGAAGGGCACACTTGGCATCTTCTTGGTTTTCCTGTTATCGAAGTTTCCTACGATGCTGTGCCTGCCTATTCACCCATCAGCTCACCAGTGTGCTCCATACTTTTTTGTGTAGCTCCCTGGGCAGAAACATTTTGTTTTCCTCTGCTGTAAATGATCTCTTATAGTTCCAGCCCAGTCCTCTAAGAAAATTTCTCTGTGATATTTTTTACTTGTTATTTTCTTTATAGATTAATCAAACTATTTATGCCACACATGTTTAGGATCAAGTAAAACACAACCATTGGCCAATGCTTTCTGTTTCAAGTGACATCATGTTCCTTCCTCAACATCTCCTTTGCCTTTGGTTTTGTTGTAGAAAGTTACTATCTCAGGCTTCAGTTTTGTCCAGGCTTTAGTAAAGAACAAAAGAGCTGAGTCACTTCTTTCCTTTCCCTTTTTCACCTGTAAATGCCACATCACCCTAATATACTGCCTAAAGGTACAGCAGCCACAAAATGCTACAAGATGTTGTCAGTAGTCAAGTATTCAGATGGTGTGTAAACCCCTTGACCTTTTGAAAAACTCTCAATGAGCAGATAGAAGCCAGATTACAAGTTCATTTTCTTTCTTGGTAGTGGTTTTGTCAAAAACATCAGACAATTTTGAAGGAAATCAAATCTCCTCAGTGTCATTGTTATTCTACAAACTTCAAGCCCACACCCGTAAGGCTTTTATAGCCATGTCTTTACATTTCTGTGATTACCATGAGAAAGCCCTGCTGAGTATGCGGAGTACAGCAGATCTCTAAATGCTTCCAGTTCAGCTAGTGAGGTGTCATAATAAACACATTTTTGAGTATGGCTACAACTACATACAGAATGTTTTACTTGTATTTCATCACTTGTGTTTTGCAATATCTTGCGGCATTTTGTCTTACAATTTCCAACATTGAATGCCAGTGCTGGCATTCCATCCAATATGTTTCACATCTCCCAAGATCCTCACTCTATTTTCAGATGTAGTTCTAACACTGGATTATTCCATTTGGTTGCGAGACCATTTTATACCATTTCAACTATTCATGTACTAACATTGCTGTTTTCTTCACCATCGGGGTCAGGGAGGTCTCCATTCCCTGTCTGAATTGGTAGATTCCTGCTCCTTTTCACTGTCACAAGAATTTTGGCTCACATGGCCAGACACATCTGTGCACAAGTCACCTGATGATTAACTTTCGACCTCCCCCACAACTTGCAAATCTGGTTTTTCATGTGCCATTGTGCTGACTTGGGCTACTTCTACCAGAAAAATGAAAAGAAAACTGCTTAAAAAACAAATCCTAGATTCACATCTGTTGCTGCTTTGGAGTTCAGGTACATACCTTTGCCATTGTCTGCCTAGTGGGTGAATGTACAGAAGGGGTTCTGTAGTCTACAGGCCTAGATGTGGTACATTCCATTATGGTAAAGTACATGTAAAGAAAGGTACAAATCCCATTTTGACACTTCTGTACAG